CGCCCCCCTGAAAAATGAAATCGCCCCCTGGGGGGCATTATCGCCCATGTTAAGAACCACTGACCTAAACCATGACAGTTCTTGTAGTCATTAAGACTGAAATAACCAGATGGTGGGAAAAGTTGCCCCATCTGCAAATTGTACACCAAGATGATTAAAATATATCACTTGTTCAAGCACTTGGCCATCCAGGGGCCATTTGTGCTTCAAATACCCTGTTTTCCTCAAAATAAGAACCTGAAAATAAGCTCTAGTAGGATTTTTCAGGATGCTTGTCATACTGTATGAGCCCTACTCCCAAAATAAGTCCCAGTTAAGTGAAACCCCGCCCTCCACCATTGTGCAGCAACCAGAAGATGACATGACTGTATTTGAATAAATGTAGATTGTTGTACATGGAAAATATAAAACATCCCTTGAAAATAAGCCCTAATGCTTTTTTGGAGCAAAAATTAATGTAAGACCCTGTCTTATTTTCGGGGAAACAGAGTAGCACTTTCCAAACACAACAGCTTTTATTTTAGCACAGTTTACCTGAAAATATTTATGACAAATTGTGCAAAAATCTTTCACTTGAGTGTGTGATATTAAAACGATATCATCTGCATATAGCAGAGCTGACCATTCATGGCAGTGGTTTCCAAAATTTTTCAATTCACAGCCCCCTTTTCTTCCCGATCCTGAGCATGGGGCATCCTTTCCTCATGTGTGGCTCATCCTCTTCTCTGGGTTTGGTTCCCAGCCTACTCACCTTCAGTCTCAGGCAGGTGAGTGGGATCCCCCCTCCTCTGCTGCCTCAGGGCAACCTCCAGGCTGTGGCACCTTGCAAGGAGGCAGATTCAGAAAGGGCAGCTACCCACACCCCTGGCAGCTCAACATTCATCTGCTGTGGGAGGTAGGTGGAGGGGTGTGGAGTTGGCCCAAGCCATCTCTTGTGAGGGTGGCAACAATGGTGGTGGGCATCTTCCTCCCACCAGCTTTCCATGGCCTGCTGATTGATTGTCCCCTCAGTCACAGCTGGAGAATATGGGCTGGTCTTTCTAAGAAAAATGCCAGTATTTTTCAGCCAAGTTTGAAACCTTTCTGACATAAATTCAGACCCTCTATCCGTCTGAATTTGTGCTACTTTTTTGTCAAAACATTTTTCCACATAAGCTAACCAATTTCTGAAATGATTGAACGCTTCTGATTTGTTTTTCATTAGGTAGCAGTAACCATATCTTGTATAGTCATCCACAATAATTAAAATATATCATGCTCCACCCATAGATGGCGCAAAAGGTCCAATTATATCTGCATGAACCAGCTGAAAAGCCCTCTCTGTTTGATTAGTATGTTCTCTTGGTCTTGGACTAATCTGAGATTTTGCCAGTTTACAAATATTACAGTCCAGGTAGTTTTTCCATGATTTCACTTTCACACCCTTAGCAAGGCTTTCCATTTTTTTTTTATCACTCTGAAATTTGCATGCCCCAGCCTTCTATGCAACAGATGTGCACATTGGTCATGAAAAGGTACATTTTTAACTAAATTTTGTGCCACTTTGTTCTCTTTTAGTACATACGTATAAATTGTTTTCTAGTTTTGCTGTTGCACAAATCTCATTCCCTTTCTTAATTGTACATGTGCTATTAGCAAAAACCACTCTATAGCCTTCTTTATCCAGCTTAGAGACGCTAAGTATGTTACAGTCCAGTTTGGGCACTAACAAAACATTTTTAAGCTCAAACCTGGCACAAATACATTTCCTTCTTCAGCCACAGAAATCCGTTCTCCATTTGCCAAACTGATGAAGCTGTGTTCTGAAGCTCGTAAAAAAGAAAACAATCTCTTATCATTAGTTAAATGATTAACTGCGCCACTATCGAGGATCCAGCTTGCTGTGACCTTGTTCTTATCACCAGCTGCCTCCACAAGAAAAATACTCCCTTTTTTCTGTTTTATTTCTCCTGCTGGATGCTTGTATGAAGTGTTGTAAAGAGATCATCACCACCGAACTGTATGAAGACTTTTGTCTTTGCTGGAGGGAAGGTGGTATACCACAGGACATGAAGGATGCAAACATCATCACATTGTAAAATCCTCCCTTTTCTGTCAGCTTTATTGCTCCGGCTGGAGTCTTCTGAGCAGTCCCTCTGAAGATGCTTCTCAGAGTTACAGATGAAACAGCGTTTCACTGCAAATGTTTTGTTTTCTTGTTTTCCCTTTCTGGAAGCAGTTCTCCTCCACTGTGGGCTGTCATGTCTTCTTCTCTCTGGGCTGTCACGTTTCCTTCGTTGTGGGCTGGCTTGTCTCATTTTATCTTCTGACCTTTCAATGCGTTTTCTAGCCTCCTCAAGAAGCCTGCATGTAAGGTAGTTAAGAGTTAAGTCCTTTCTGGCATAGATTCAAGGCTCGTGACTAGCACGTCAAAGCTCTCCGGAAGACTGCTCAGAATAATATATGCCTTATGTGATTCTGTAAAGTTCATGTTTCGCTGAAGCTCATTGAACAGATTTTTCATCTTTTGTAAGTGATGGGACATGCTTTCACCTTCTTCTAGCACAGCTTTATGCAGTTTTCTGGTTAAGGATACTTTGGTTCCAGCTGAATCACGAACGTAAATTCGTTTCAGCGTGTCCCAGCACTCTTTAGCTGAAGTCAGTCCACTTACGTGAGTCAGTGGGCTGTCTTCCAGGCAAAGAATTAATGTAGATAAAGCTTTCTCATTTTTCCTTTGTTCCTCCTCATCTGGGGCAGCAGGGGAATGGCATACTATCTCCCACAATTCCTCCTGTCTCAGGAACATCTCAGCTTTCACTGATCACGTCTGGCAGTTATTTTCATTCAGTCTGGTTACAGGAAAACCTCCCATACTCCCAAACGCCTGCATTTTGCTGCTTTTCTCTTGGTCCTCAGTTTTTCTTCCTCTCCTGGGCTCTAAACGGCAGAACTCTCACTTCCCTGGACTCTCTCTTGCCTCTCAGGTACCCACTGGTACTCACCGCCTTCCTTGACGCAACGCAGGTATCGCAGGGCGTAGCACTGGGCCCATATCCTTCTGTCAGCGTTTATAGCGGAAATCACAGTTTTAGCAGAGTAATTCGCGGTTCAGGCAGTCCAGGAATACCTCACACACAGTCCAGCAGCATTTCCTTCAGCAACGTGTATTTACAGCAGTATTTACATCAGTTTGGCAGCATAACGTGTAGATGTGATCTTCATGCAGGAAAAGATACAACTAACTGTACAATCACACATATATACATATACATAACCAATGAGGTTACACATTACACAATCCCTTGATTGCATCATCCCTGGATTGCATCAGCTCTGCTGAGTCATCCTGACTCAGCTTCAGCACACCTGATCACCATGGATTCTCATTAATACACTCCATTCTGCTCAGGCCTGTAATTTTCCTTGATGCTCTATTTTTGTCGGCAGCTGCCCGGGGCTCTGCCTGGGCCCGCCCTGGAAGTTCATGGCCGGCGGGGAGGAGGGCGAGGAAGAGGGAAAGAGGCTGGGCGGGCGACGGTGGCAGGAGGAGGAAGAGTGGAAGCGGGTGGGTGGCGGGCGAGCGCGCAGCTGGCTCAGCAGCGAAAGGGCAAGGAAGAGGGGAAGAGGCTGGGTGGACAGTGGGAGGAGGAGAAGAGGGGAAGCGGGCGGGTGGCGGGCAGCCCGGCGGCAGACTCTGGCTGCTCAGACATGGCCAGCTCGGCTTCCCTCCCTCCATCCCAACTGACTGACTGCCCACCTGCCTTCCTCCCCAGCTGGCGCGGCCCTGCGTCACTCACTCAATGGCGGGCCATTTTAGCATGTGCAAACTCCTGATTGCTCTCTGTCCAAGCTTACACGTGTGTTTTCGAACCCGTGTTCACTTGGAGGCATGTTTTGGGGCCAAAAACGTTGTACACCGGCAAATGGAGGCATGTTTTTGGGCCAAAAAAGTCGTACACCGGCAAAAATGGTATATCTAAGGTAAAACAAACTTACCAAGGAAAACTGAAGAATAATGATAACCCATCTACGTAGGAAAATATAAAGGGAAATCTCAAGTGGAACATTTTCATTTGTCAGAGCTGATTCATGAGGTATTAAGCAAGCAGACAGTTTTTCCAAAAGTCAGAGAACAAATTAAAGGATGTTCCACACAGCTGCGTGGAGAAAAATGTTAGGGAAACCTCAAAGTCTCAGCAACACTTTTTTCTCACAAGTGAGCTTAGATGACAGGACTTTACTGTTTAAATGGGGAAACAGGAGCAGGTGATACAATTAATTGACCTACTCACTCAATAAAGTGTCAGTACCATTTATTTCCTCTGTTAATTTTTTTATTCACTTCTCAGCTTTCTTGGTACATTTATCATTTACACTACACACCAGTGCAGTCAAATGAAAGCAGTAATTTTATATCCAAAGTTTGCAAATACATAAAACTTATTTCCCTTCTCAGCCTATATATGTACTCTCTTATCACAGCACTGATTCCTTCACACATAATACTGCATCCTTGCCCAAGTGGAAGATAAAAATAATCACTGCAGGGATACCCAAGTTGGTATTCTGGACCAGTTTAACTCAAAATGGGCTAATGACTTGGCAACTTAGTATTTTCTGTATCTGCAGCAAAGTCTGCACTAGCCCTTTTCACCAGCTATTTTAGAAATCTGTAGGCTTTGAGATATATTTTGATAAAGCAAAAGATTGAAGAGTTGTTTTTTTCTGTGATCTGAAAGTAGTTTTTCATTAGTTTGGGGAAAACAAGCCATCCTGAGTTCCATGTGTCACGGGTCTATCATATTTAGTAGGAAATGATCTAACAGTGATAGCATGTAACACTAATACAGTACACTGTAAAGTTGTCTGCAGGAGTCTGCATCTTTTGGTAGAATGATACTGGCTATTTATATTGGCATAGATGCAGTGGTAAACATTGTGATGGTGTTCTCTCATAGTCCAGCAGCTTACACAACCAGCATGCAATGTGAGGTACAAGTGGCAAATTGTTAACTGTCAGCAACTCACCAATGCATTTCAGACTACTGCATAACTAACCAATAGGATTCTGACCTTTGTCTGCCAGCTAGAATTGTTCAGTTCCCCAAAAACATTAGTTTAACTGAGAGTATCTGTGGTTTCAGAATGGAAAAAGTGATTTATTTATTTTTTGCTGGAATCAAGTATACTGTATCTTGCAAAGCTGAATTGCTAATTTAAGTATGTCTTACCGTATTTTCCAAATAAAATATGCTTCTTTTGTTTATAAAGCCACCACAAAGAATAAACACATTTTAAAATATATTTAAATTAAAGGGAAAACATTATTCCTCGTTGGTGATGTGGATCACTTCATTCTCTTATCATAATTCAGATACTGTTACAAATTTCGATCCAGTCAGACACTTATACAACATATTCCATTATATGGTGCTGACACAATTATTGCCTTCTGGGCCATATGCAAGAAGATTCAAGGCTAGCATACCTAAACTGCCCCTCTCCCAGAGAAAATGGATTACAATATTTATAAAAAAGGCTGACAAACCTATTTTGGCAGCTTAGAATAACACTGAGCTACCACCTAAAAGGCAGTAACAGTGAGCACCAGATTTCATGCTTTATCTTTTGCCAAATAGTACGAATGCCTAAAAACTTTTTTTAAAAAAACAAAGCCTGAAGATTTCCCATGTCTATATTTTTAGACTGATAATAACACTGTTCATCCATTTACAAGACAGCAATTTGCCTTTTAAACACAAATTTAAGATCCTTTTATCTTTAATTACAACTTTTTTACTTAAGAAAAGTGTAGTAGTAATAAAATCAAAATAGCATTTAGAAAACACAAATAACTTCAAAGACAGATTTGTTGACAAGACAGATACATCAAATATTCCACATAATTTTGTTTGCAGACCATAATAAAAAATGTAAAACATGTTGCACAACATCAAAACTACAGTAATTTAAATAACAGAAGCAAAAAAATGAACTGCCTATTCATCTTAACTTCAGTTTTCCATACAGTTTCAGTGCAATTAAGATGCATTACAAAGCTAGTGACAACTTGGATGCAGGAATTTAGGAGCCCTGTTTCCATAGCCCATAAATTTCATTAAAAGTTTAGCAATTGAAATTGAAAACTATCATAAAGTCAGTCTACAGACAGTCCAGTGAGTCCTCAAATACTTAACTGGAATGGAGAATTTTAACTGGTGCTTTTCCACCAGAGACAGTAGCAAGAGACATTTTCACACAAATATAATTTGTTCACCACCATCAATTTATTACTGATGAACAACCCTATTACACTATGAAGTTGCTAGTCACATTTTCTAAAAAACAACTGTCCATGTTAGCAGAATGCATTACTGTATGACTGAGGAACCACACAGTTCCTATTTAAGCTGTAGAAGAGGAAGCCCTGCTTAAAGGTTAAAAGGCGATGACTGAAACAAGCACTTCTATACTATTAAACACACAGTAACTCAATGAATTTTTCCCAGAATACAAATTATACTATGGAGTAGATTAGCAAGCAAAATTTCACTCGTTTTTCTTCTCTTTGTGCTTGAGGAGTTTGTTGACCTCCCTTTTTGCCATTCCAACATATTTTGAAATTATTCCATGCTTGTTCAATCCAGGAAACAACAAGAAGCAGCTCACTTAAAACAAAACAAAACAAAATCACCATCAGTGATGATCTTTTAAGTTTGTTCATCATATTTGTTCATTTTAATTATGTTCTATTTAAATCACTTCCCAAAAACAATCCAGTCCCCACTTATTAGCATGGGAAAACAAGCCACATATTCTTCTGTAGCATTCCCTTACATATTGCTTACCAATAAGGTAGGTGAGGAAGAGGTTATGAACCTGTTGTCCTATCCAAGCAATCACAGCCAGTGAACACAGCATTGTCATGAAGTACTAGAAAGTAAACCAAATAGATGATGGCCTTAAAACAGTTTCTACAGGAATTAAGATGCCAACCTCCTTACTAAATGTTTCTCCCACTGCTCTTAAAGGCAACATGGCTGATCAGCATCCTAATCCTCTGTGTGCAAATGTGCACACAGCAATATATTCCACTATCTTTAATAGAATCTGCTCTTAAGAAAGTATGATTTGGACAATAACCTGGATTATTGGTGGCTGACAACTTGGCAGCTCTGGATGGTTTGCTAATATAGAGAGGCCATTCACATGTTACCACAACAATTACTCTGAAGACTACAAAACAAATGTTCCTTTCAAGCTGCTGTTGAGGGGGGACATTAATCATCTTGAAGTCAAAATGCCATGGTACCGCATTTTTCCGTGTACAGTGGGGTCTCGACTTACGAACTTAATCTGTATTGGAAGGTGGTTCTTAGGTCGAAAAGTTCTTAGGTCGAATCTGCATTTCCCATAGGAATGCATTGAAAACCATTTAATCTGTATCTGCTCTTTTCTGACCATAGAAACTAATGGGAAGCTGCTATTCCACCTTCTGCCACTAGAGGGGAATATGTTTTCTTTTTTT